TATTTTTTATTTAAAAATTTATTTATAATATTATTATTTTTTTTTTTTTTTTTTTTTTTTTTTTTTTTTTAAGTTTCTTCAGTGACGATAAATGCCTTACGTCTCATCAGACTGAAGAACATTTTGCATTTGAGCTTTTCAGGTGTGCAGAATAAGATTATGACTAAGCCGAGACCGTAATGCCGCTGAGTTTTTGAGGGGTGTGCATGACTATTCTGAAAGCTTTTAGAAAAAGATCCAAGTGTTTCTAAGAAAAGATGGAGCCGACGCAACAAACATATCAGCACCATCCAGAGTGTGAGGAAGGCGTCTGCAGAGCCCCACTTCTGTAACCAACAAGCAGCTTTAAGTGCCCGATATAGCCACATGGAAATGCTTTCTACACTGTTTACTGAGAAGGGTATGAATTAATCAACTCTGCAGAGGTAACATATGGTGCTTGTATACGTGTGTGTGTTTCTCTGCTGTGTAATCTGGTGGTAACAAAACCAGTCACATTTAAGAGATTGAGGATTTGTTTTTGTTGTGATCAAAGTAAGCTTTAAATAAAAGGAGCTTAGACACATTTTGTGCTTTTTTCCCTTTCATTTGGGAAATTAGTGATTATTTACATCTATTAACAATTACTGGTGATTTAGATGCATTTTGAATGGCTGAATATGGAGTCAGGAAAAAGAAAACATTATTTTGTGCAACGATACAATGAACTATACAATGATGTACTAAAGTACAATATCGTGTGATATGTTATAGTGCAACATGAAACAATGCATTAAGACAGGGGTGCCCAATACGGTGATCGCAATCTACCGGTAGATCGCACGATGAAATAGATGTCAGACCTTTTTTTAGATTTCTTTTCTTTTTTTTTTTTGTTTGTTTTGTTTTAAGACATCAGCTGATCAATCCTTCTTCACTATGAAAATTGTCACTTGATTGACACACAGGGCAGCCAATCTGATAAAGTGTAAGTAAGATAAGAGTCTGTACTAACTGGGAGATAACATAAGAAGCAGAAACTCATGGAGCACCTAGATAATCAAGAAAATAACCAAATAAAATAAACTCAAAGAACCATGAACAAAACCCACAGATACGACATTTAACAAAATATCTCGTTTGTGTCTGCATGTTTGTGTCTGTACCTCCTTGGCTTTGTTGCGAGTCCTCATGTTCTCTGCGATGTACTTCACACTCTCGATGGCCTGCTTGATCTCTGGTGACACTACAGAAAAGGCGACCACCGCGTTGACTGGCGATGAGGCGTTCAGGGGCCTTGGTACCTTCGGAAGCTCAGAATCTGAGGGCCCCTGTGTTGGAGGTACCTGGGGTAGAGGCGGTGGCACCATCGGGGGTGGAACAGGAGTTGGCACCTCCTTCCCTCTATAGGGGAACCTCCTGGTCATGTCTCGTTTCAAGTCACGGTTTATCTCTCCATATTCCACACAGTTCATCGAGCCACCAGCTGAGGAGGTTCCTCCTCCTCCTGAGCCACTATCCAGAGTTGGACATGCTACCCCTCCAGTTATACCACCAACACTCACACTTCCTGAGCTGCTCGCTCCTCCCACACTGTTCTTTCTCATCTTGAAACCTCTGCTGCCTCCTCCTCCTCCTCCTGTCCCTCCTGTAACTCTGGCAGGCGATGAGCAGCTCTGGTCAATCGGCCGTCTCATCAGCATCACTCTGGGTAACACCCCAAGGAACACCATCCTGACCCACTCGGGCATCGTGTGAGTCATGGGGGTACGGTAGTGCACGTTCAGGACAAAGACGGTGATGACGATGCTTAGCGTTACAAATATCATGGTGAAGAGAAGGTACTCGCCAATCAGAGGGATGACGAGCGACGTCGAGGGGATGGTCTCAGTGATGACCAGCAGGAACACGGTGAGGGACAGCAGGACCGAGATGCACAGGGTGACCTTCTCCCCACAGTCTGACGGGAGGTAGAAGACCAGCACGGTGAGGAAGGAGATGAGGAGGCAGGGGATGATGAGGTTGATGGTGTAGAAGAGAGGCAGGCGGCGGATGTAGAAGGAGTAGGTGATGTCTGGGTAGATTTCTTCACAGCAGTTATACTTGATGTCGTGCTTGTACCCGGGTGCATCAATGATCTCCCACTCCCCACTTTCCCAGAAGTCCTTTAGGTTCACCTGTTGAAGCACAAATGAGAAAAATTCATTTCACAATCGTTACTTTTTGTTCATGTACAATTTAAAATCGACGGCTTTTAGTTAGAAAAGAGAATACGGTTCAAAAGTGAACAAATTCAACAAAACGAGAAGTTTGTTTTTATTTTTAAAAAGGCTACAAATAGGAACGTGTTTGATGATGTGTACAAAATAATACAAATTACCTCAATTTATCTGATTAACAGATTTGGATTTCTAGTTCTCCCTCAACCAACTGACCCATTTTGTCATGCACAATTTAGATTCTGTTTATTTTTTGCTCAGCTGAACACTGTTTTCTTTGGTTCTGGGTTGACTGTGCTGTGGTGTCTCAGGTCACATACAGTGGCTGAAACAGCAGCAAGCAGAGCCTGGTCCAATGCTTACATGGAGGGAAGATTTTTTGTTGTTGCTTTGAGTCAGATTTTCAACGTTATGATGATCCTAACTTTTCTCCCATGCATCATATGAAAGATTTTCATGCAAATTAGAAAATATAAGCTGTTAACGTTGATTGTTTCTTAATGTTTTTTTCTGCCTATACCAGGGGTCTGCAACTTTTACGATCAAACGAGTTATTTCTGCCCCTTCATTCGCTAAATTAAATGTGACCTGAGCCGCAAAAACTGCTACAACTGGGATTAGCAACTAGTCGCCCATGAACCATTATAGGTTTGTTGGAGGAAGCTTTTCTGGCCAGCAGTGGTGACATAATAAAATAAAAAATATGGAATAATTATAACATTAATTGATATTTTTACATCGGTGGCACAGTTGGTAGAGCTGCCGTCTCTCAGCGAGAAGGTCACTGGATAGAATTCTGTCTGGGGGGCCATTCTGGGTGGAGTATGCATGATCTCTCTGTGCATGCGTGGGTTTTCTCCGAGTACTCCGGTTTCCTCCCACAGACCAAAACCATGCATGTTAGACTGACTGTTAACTCTAAATTGTCCCTAGGTGAGAGTGTGAGTGTGAATGGTTGTTTGTCTCTATGTGTCTCTGTGATGGACTGAGACCTGTCCAGGGTGTCCCCTGCCTCTCGTACAGTGACTGCTGGATATGGGCACCAGTGACCCCCACAACCCAGAAAAGAAAAAGCGGGTAAAGATAATGGATGGATGGATGGATGGATGGATGGATGGATGGATGGATGGATGGATGGATGGATATTTTTACATTTAAGGACAAAAGAAACACCAGATTCTTGTAAAGAAGGAAAAAAAAGTTTTTTTTTTACATTTTTTATTATTAAAACAATGAACTATGTAGGCTCATGTGATATTTTAACTAAGAAAAAAAATGTATTAAGTATTTTACTTTGAAGGAATAAAGAACAACGTTAAAGTGAGTATACTTTACTTCTTGTATTAGTACTAGTTTTCACATTTTTGCAAAAGAAATCACAGAAAAACTGCTAAAACTAGCCCTTTTTCTTGTTGTTTGGTATAACAACAAATACAAATCAGTTTTGTGTTGGATTTAGTCAAAGCATGTACGGTAAGCATCACTGCAGAGAGACCAAAGAGCTGTGTATGAGCCACACGTTGCAGACACCTGGCCTATACAGCGATCCTATTAATTCTGCTAAAATAATTTTAAATACAATATTCCACGGAAGTAGCCAATGACATGAAAATGGTGCAAATGATAAAATAACTTTTCTTCTTGTGAGCCCTGACAGTCCTGCTGACCTTTGAGCCAATGAGCACTAAGTCGATCTTGGCTTTGTCGTAGGTCCAGGAGCCGAACTTCATGGAGCAGTTCTGGTAGTCAAAGGGGAAGTAAGTGATGTCCATCGGGCAGGAGGATTTGAATATAGCTGGGGGAACCCAAGTGATGGTGCCATCAAATTTCAGCAAGGCTTTGGTTTTGTCTTCCACGAGGAAATCACCTACAGCGCTGCAAGAGAGTTTTCAAGGTCAATACATTCAGCTGAACAGGCTCAGAACATTCGAGACATGCGCTGTTATCAAGAATGGGAAAACAAAGAGAGAGTGTAAGACAAATCTATTTATTTGTTAATGTATTAATCTTTTAATGTGTTCTGTTGAGTTTGTAGATTCTCCATTTACATTTTTGTCATCCCTGATATGTTTTATGCATCAAAACAGCTGCATTTGCAGTCACTGTCTGATCAGCCTACACCTTTCATGGTGGAGGGTGATCATGTAAGAGCCAGTATATTTTCATTTGCCCGTCTGTTAGCAGAATAGCTCATAAATAGTTGGTGGATTTTAACCAACCTCTCTGTAATTATTGGCTGTACATTACAATGGATAATTTTTCAAGATGGCCACCACAACTAATCGGCATCAGTAAACAAAAAATGACCAATACTACTAATAGTTATAGTGAGCTAAAATTTTGTTTGGTAGTAGCTGACAATCATTCCCAGCACAAATTCTGACAGCTATCGACCAAGTTAGAGGAGGGTCAAATGCATTCAAGGAATACTACTTTAATTACTTTTAGCAATTCTTGTACTTTAGTACTCAGTCATAACAAGTTTACACAAAATAACTTTGTTTAAAAAGATCCACAATTTTGGCTTAAAAAAAGACTTTCGTAAAGTTAATTTATTAGAAAGGGCAGATTTTTTAAATGCTAACTTACCACTGGTTCATAAATTTTGATTACATAATTTTACTACAATTTCATGTGGATTTGCGAATATATTTAATGTAAGAGAACATGAATAAATTAATGTCAGAGAAACAGTCGCAAACTATATGTTTAGATTGATTTCCCTCTCTAACTAATAAACTAACTCTAACTAATAAATATGTGTTTATACTGGATTTATAAGCAAGGTCAAATTTGTGTCCAAATGTAGCATTTGATTTCAAAAAGGCAGAAAAGACAAATAGATTTTACTTCTTAGATTAATTAGTTAAAAACAAACAATACAATAAAATTAAATTAGATGTTTCTCAGACCTGGACTTCTCAGCATGAGTGCAACACCTACTTGTTGTACAAGACGATATCTGGCCTCCAGATCTTGTTGGATGGAACTCGTATGAACTCAATCCCATCATAATCAACTGGAGTCCATTTCAGTTTGTAGTCATTCCACACCTTTAAAGAGAAAATTATTAAATAATCCTTAAAAATGATTAAAGCTCACTCGTTAAGTATGACATGTAATCAACACTCACGTGTCTCAACCACAGGTTGGTTTCCATAATTTGGTTCACTTCATCCTGAAACAACAAAAACATGTCACCATAGATGACCCACGTTCTTTTTCTTTTATTCTGACTTCTGGACAGCTTTCATCACAGTGATTCTTTGTTCTTACCACTTTGACCAGTTGAGATATAGACACCTCAAACTCCACAGTAACTGGATCAGAGACGTTCTCCACTGGTCGGATGAACTGGTTGTACCTTCGAAACAGCCTTCGGAACAATCTGTCCTCAGCTTTAGATGCAAAACAGCCTAAAAACACAGAAAAAGTGGGTGGGAATGAAGAAAAGGACAAAGATTAGTAGATGCAGAGCTGTCAGATAAACTGACGGTGTTTAAATCTGGCTTTGTGAAGTTGTCTGCGACGGTCAGTGCTGGGGAATTAAACTCGACTCGAGTTTTGCGAAAAGGTCAGTCACTCAAACGGATTTATCATCAGTGTCTGCTGACAAAAACAAACTTATTATAGAGACTTCAAGATTAATGTTTTGCTCCCAATGAGGCTGAAGTTCACCAGTAAATGACTCAAATATTAATGCAAATGAAACGTCAACCCATCTTAAAGCTGAACGGTTAGGGAAACTTTTAGAATCATATCTCTAGTTTAGAAAATGTGACACATTTACACAATATTTATTTTAAGGGAAATGGAACAACGACACAAATGTGTCAGAAGCAAATGTACTGATTTTTCAGAATCTGCTCAAAATGTGCTGCAAAAGCTTCAAGTAATGTCTGAAAGGCCTGCCATCAGCTTAGAGCTGTAAACCATTTCTATGTACAATAAAAGCTTGATCTGTAAATAATAATATATTGACTTTTTTGTATTTTTTCAAATTTGTGATGTTATGAAACCATCTGGTTTGAAGTAAGCGATGTGTCGTACTGCCAAAAGGTCACAGTCTAAGCTGCATTATTTATGACATCAATATATTTAGAAACTAGTGAAAAATGAATGTATGGTGGCTGCTAAGAAAATCTCAAAAAAGATATAGAGAAAAAAGAGTTTAAGTAAATAAAAGAAACATATATTTATTTATTTTTTTGGATTATTGAAGATTTTTCTTGTTTGTGCCAAAATATGTTTGGCAAAAAATGACTAAAAACCACCTGAAATTATGAATACCTTCAGATGATCTGCACCTGTATGCACCTAACATCTGGTAGAAATGCATATTTATACAAATACTGGGCCATGCAGATATCTGTATTTCATTTTCAGCTGCTGTATTCTTATTATTATCCATCCATCCATTATCTTTACCCGCTTCTTCCATTTTGGGTCACGGGGGTCGCCGGTGCCCATGTCCAGCAATCACTGTGCGAAGGGCGGGTGCACCCTGGACGGGTCGCAAGTCCATCACAGGGCCCTTATTATTATTATTATTATTATTATTATTATTATTATTATTATTATTATTATTTATTTATTTATTTATTTATTTTTTGCAGTAGGTCAGCAAATACAGTTAAATTTGTTGCAGGTATTTGCACTTGTCAGCATTTAGGGGGAAATTGTACATGTACCTATTCACAGTTATTTGCATACACGTTAACTGTCAACGTAAAAATTATTTTTTAAATGTTACCAAAAAGAAAAGTAGACATATTTATTTATTGATTTTGGGTAAATGAACCACAGGATATGCTGTAGTCAGAAGGTGGAAGTACAGACTGCATTACAGATGGCACAGCGTTGTGGTTCTCACACTTCAGCCATTCATTTAACATCTTACATCTTCATCAATCTGATTTCAGGAAACAACACAGCACAATGACTGCTTTGCTAAAGGTTTTTAATGATGTTGTTGAAGCACTGGATACTAAGGATTATTGTGCTGCATTTTTCTTAGACCTGTCTAAAGCTTTTGACACTGTGGATCATGACATCTTGTGTCATAAGTTCTCAGAAATAGTTTTCTCAGATCACACCATTGGTTAATTCACTATCTATCTTTCAGATCAGAGGTAATGTGTTCAACACAATGGTACTTCTTCCAGTTATTTAAAGGTTAACAATGGTGTACCACAAGGCTCAGTCTTAGGACCCACCCTCTTCACAATCTACATAGGTAATGTAGGTCAGAGCATCCCTGATGCATCCTTACATTTCTATGCTGATGACACAGTTGTTTATTGTCAACCTAAAACAGTTGCTAAGGTTTTCCAGCTTTTACAATCTGCTTTCAACATCATCCAGTCAGATTTGTTCCATCTCAAGCTTGTACTAAACACCAACAAAACCAAAGGGATGTTGTTGTCAAATAGGAAGTCGGTTCCAATAATTCTTCCCTTGATTTTATCTTCGAATGGTGCCCCTATTGATTTAGTCAATTGTCAGGTATCTTGGTCGATTCATATCTCTCTTTTAAACTCAACATTGAAAATTTGGTAAAGAAACTGAAAGTTAAACTGGGTTTCTTTTTCAGAAATAGATTCTGTTTAACTTTGAATGCTATGAAAAACCTTTTAATTGCGACTTTACATCCCTCCACTGACCTTGGTGACATTATTTACATGAACACCCCTACAAGCACCCTGCAGATGTTGGATGCTGTCTGTCATGGTGCACTAAGATTCATAACTGGCTGTGATTACTGTACCCATCCCTGCACCCTGTATTCACTGGTTAACTGGACATCATTAACTTCACGCAGACTCTCTCACTGGTACATTTTCATCTTTAAATCACTTCTTAGTCTGCTGCCTTCATACATCTCCTACAGGTCTCTCAGGACAGTATTACCTGCAGTGTCCCCTCAGTGCAGACTGACCTTGGAAAAAGGGCCTTCTCCTACTCCGCTCCTGTTTCCTGGAATATCTTGCAAAAAGATCTGAAGCTCTCAATCTTGACCTCTCTAAGTGACTTCAAACATCTGCTAAGTGCTTGGCAAAAACCGATGCAGACATGTTCCTGTTTTTAGTATTTTATAATGTAGCTGTTTAAATTTAGCTTTTTAATATAATTTTCTTCCATTTAAATGAGTCCTTGAGGCTCAATGAGACTAACCTGTATAAATAAAGGTTGAATGAATGAATTCATGTCAGTAATTATTGCTTCTGTGTAACAGAAACAGTTTTGATAATTCATGTAACCAGTTCATGCTTGAGGTCCAAACACTTATCGCTGAGAGGTACACATTAAATCTATCTTGAAAAACAACTTAACTTACTTAGCTAGATTTTTTATTTATTTCAAGCTTTGTAATTAGATATTTTTCAACATTGTACCTCAAGCTGTGTATGAAAAATGCTGTCGGATAAAAACAATGACTGTTTCACTTGATGTGTGTTAAAAGGGTATTTCAGTTGCACGCTTGATTAATTAAATCAAAACCTGAAGACTAATCTCAGAAGACTAGATGCTTTAAGGAAGTTTTTTTTAATGAAATTAAATAATATCTGCAGAGGTGTGTATGCAAGGCTGCAGTGGAGATCAGATTGTAGAAAATTGCCACAAGCAACACTTGTGCTTGGGATGGCATGCCTGCCTGAGCAGAAAATGTTGCCGCAGTCGGGGCAGAGCACAGTCACGGCACTTCATTGAGCATGTATGCCTCTTTACCTTAACGTTTTTTTTGTTACTTTTTTAAAACTGGATATGGGTTATTCTTATGGCTGTAGACAACAAACTAAATACCCACCGATGCATGCAAGGACCAATGCCTATAAAGCTTCAGACGAACTCCTTCATCTTAGTTTTTAAGTCAAGGGGAGATGCACTCCTTGTTTAACACAGCTCAAAGACATCAGATGCGCTCCCAACAAGCTGCTGCATGAACCGCTTGAGAGCTTGAGGTGACTGTATATCGCCAAAAGGGCAAGTAGTGCAAATTCTATATGGACACACAATAACCACACACTTTAAATGGGTTCATTTCCCTCATAAGCTAAATAAAACATAGAGAAATAATGGAAAATCTCCTGTTTGACTCTGTTTATGCTGCAAATCAAACTAGCATCACAACCTTACTTTGACATTTTTACTTACAGTTTCCTTCAACTTTTCATTATTTTATTACCCGTCAATTCCATTAAAAAACGAATCCAGTAAAATGCTGCACCAATTGAATCAATTTAAATAAATTTAAGGTGTGTGCAGCTTTGCAATCATTTACAGCTTAACTGTTTGATTTAAACGTGCATGGTTTATAGTAGTACTGTAGTACTCTTCAATATATTCTCCTTCTCCCCAAAGAGTTGACATTAATATCAGTTTCATACAGTATGTCTGCTGTGAACCTATATGTGAAAACCTCCCACCACAGATAAAAATAGGCTTTCAGTAGCTCTTTAATAAAGACTTTCACATCATCTATATGTTTAAATAAGCGTGCCATGTTCCCATTGAAAACAATAAAGTCATAAAGCACTTGTGTTATTTCCAGTGGGGTTTCAGTTTGATCTTCCTGACGTCTCTGGTCTCACTTTGTCCCAACTTTCATTGTGAGAGTTTAATTTATTTGTTCATGCTCTCAAGTTTTATTGAAACTCAAGGAGCTACATGAATCTGACACATGCATTGATCTGTAATGTTAGAGTCTAACGACAGAAGCACAGACTCTACAATAAACTTTATTTCACGAAGGCAACACTTATGTAATCACATCTGAGCAAATTAAACACACGTGGCTCCACAATATTCATTCTCACATGAAGGTCGAAATGTGAACAGAAACACAGAGAATTTTGACTCCATAGTTCACATGACTGACTAAATTTGAATCATCATAAAGTTTTACTTAGTTTTTTTTACATTTATACTATGTCATGCTTGCTGAAATAAATAACAATCCTACAAAATAAGGTTTATTTAATCTTGTGTATTTATTGTCTTGTGTATTTTACCACCTTTGTGGGTATTTTCAAGCAGATGATGAAGCCCACAAAAGTCATGAAATGTCAGGTATCATAGAAAACTATCACCAGCAGGATCTTTTTAGTGAAGTTTTTAGTCATTTTGAACAAAAATAGTAGCTGGGTGAAAAGTAATTAAATGAACTATTATTATTTTGCTCCGCTGCTATACAACCACTAGAAGTTTGTTGAGGTCCCTGACCGAGACGAGCTTACATCGACTTACGCCTTACGCTTTAATGAAACGGCCCTTCTCCAGAGACACTCGTGTGATTTGGTACCTTGCCTTAAAACTGCCCTCTGCTTTCTGATTTGCTGCTCTGCCAGAATCTTGTTTAAGCTTCTAATTGGCTGAGGGAAAACGAGGGCAATTATAATCAGTCAGTTAATTGGAC